TTGAGACACTCATAGATTATTTTGAAGCAGCCATCTAGCGCCCTGTGGTCCATGTGCACCTGTGCTTAAAAAAAAAAAAAAAAACATTTTAACTGCCTGTTGCATTAGGTTCTCTGCTCTGGACTCGGCTTTCCTCCTCGCAAGTGGCTGATTTTCCCTACCATATCTGCAACACTAAAAATCATAAGCACAAGGGTTGGATTTGGAATTTTGAAACAAGACCACCGGAATTTAGATGATTTGGAATGGTCACTCCAGCTGACCAAATAATTAATTCGGCATCTTGTGTGTTTGAATAGTCTCCTTGACAAATATATTTCTTGTGACAATCAGTTATTGCACCTGAATCAAATGCAGGTTCGAAATATGATTAAAAATAAGTCAGTTGAAGTGCACCTATTTTTCTCCAGCAATATTTTAAAGCGATGATGAGGAGAAAGTTTTCTGCCATAGTTACTTTAAATCTGGTCGTGTGGTGTGACCTTATGTTATTCTAAATTGTAGACCTCCGCATCCACCTCCAGTGTTGGATCTTAGAGCCATCATGGACATGGAAGCCAGCTCTGCGCAGACCCTCAAACCAGCTCCTAAAAGCCTAGCAAGGTAAAATATCAACGCATATTCAGGTTGACTACAGTTGCTGTTTACAGACTATTTACGGCGCACAAGTTTTAGGTATTCCCACCCACTCTACATATTTTTCTGCTTGCCTTCAGTGTTGGTACCCTCTGCAAATATTCTCCTACTCCTATGAAATTGTCCCAAAAGCAAAGGAAGATGTTGGCCTTGGCCAATAAAGAGACCAGTGTGGACGCTACAGCATCCAAACCCACCCCCACAGTCACACCATCCAAAAACAGCAGTGGGAAGACCTGGTGAGTGTACTCCAGAATCTATCCATCCATTTTCAGTACAATTTATCCTGTTCAGGCTCACGGGTGTGCTCCAGGATCAGAAGCACAAATGGAGGTGGAAGAAATTAACCTCATGTCCAGTGCATTTGTGATTTCAAGTATAAAACACAATTTTTGTTACTTTTTTATTCTGCATTGAACCCTCATATATGAGGGTCATTCAATAAATAAGGTGAATTTTTCGGTATAAGGACTTCTAATACAGATACAAGCTTAAATTTTTTTTCAACATAGTCCCCAGCACTGTCACACACTTTTCCCATCAGGGCCCAAGCTTCCATATTCCCTCAGCATAAAAATCTTTGTGCCTCTCGTGAACGCTTTTAAGGGACCGAACAGGTGAAAGTCTGAAGGGGCAAGGTCTGGGCTGTATGTGGGATGAGGGAGCAGTTCCCAGCCCGGCATGTTGATGGTCTGCACTGTTTTGGGCTGCTGTGTGAGGCCGTACGTTATAATGATGGAAGATGACTCCTTCTGGCTGATGACCCCTGCATTTGTTCTTTATATCTTTCTTGACCTGCCTCAGCAGTTAACAGGAGTTGGCACCAAGTTTGAAAGTGACGATGAAGTCAAAAGTGTTGTGAGCGACTGGCTAAGAGATCAATCCAAAGATTTTTACGCTGAGTGAATATGGAAGCTTGTGTACGGCTAGGAAAAGTGAGTGACAGTGCAGGGAGACTACGTTGGGGGGAAAAAAAGTAAGGTTCTATCTGTATTAGAAGTCCTTATACCGCAAAATTCACCTTATTTATTGAATGACCCTGATAGTTGCCGTTTTGGCATTTGCAAAATCACAGATTTTTTTTCTTCTTTGCTACAGTTGTTCACTGAAAACCTCATTTGTTTTTGTGCTCAGCCCAAAGCAGTAAAAGTATGGCTTTGACACCATCTTGTGGCATCTTGATGCCAAGAAACTCTTGGAAGTGATTTGAGGAGCTTCACTTTGACTAAATTTGTGCCTTGTCCTCAGCGTGTGACATTAATGCAATCATAAAACCTTTTAGGGTGGGTATGAAATTACTTGTGGATGAATTTTCGCTGTTTGTTCCAGTCCTGGGTCCCGAGCCTTCCATGAATGGAGGTGGTTCACTTTATTAGCCTTATGTATTGTTAAAAACACAATTCTTTTTACATGTCTTCATTGAATATGTCATTCAAGTTAAGCAAAGCTCCACCATCTCAATGTGTTTCATGTTTCCCCCCCATTGATTTCTGTCATCAGGGCAACAGCACTCCAGTCCTTACCCTCACCTTGCTCATTCCGGGCGCTGCTCGAGGAGGAGGAGAACATCTTCATCCGAGCGGGGCAGCCGGGAACTCACAGTTGCCAAAGTGCTCAAGCGTTACCTGTCAGCGTTACACCTGTTAATAAGAGGGTGACGTTCAAATGTGCTGATGGCAGTGAGCCGGAGAAACCTGGGTAAGTCAACTACATGTAGCGAATTCTGCTATCACTGGGAGGCACTGTTGTCAAAACAGTGCTTCATTTTACACAAGTTTAAACCAGTGATTCCCAACCAATTGGCCAAACACAAGAGGTCATTAGGTGTACCATGGGAAATGATCCAGTTTCACTTAGCGGTAATTAATCCCGCTGGGTTTGTCTTCCTTCAATGCCTGCAAACTGAATTTGTAAAATTGTGAGTAAAGTGAGAAGTGAACATTATTTGAACATACATATTTCTTTGTAACGTTTTTGTTCGGGGTGTGCTGCAAGTTGTTTTGTTTTGGGGGGGTTTCCTCTCATTTAATATATGTGCTCGATGGGGGTTGGGAAACACTGGTCTAAATTACAGGTCCCGCAATAAAATCACATTCATTTATAAATTCGCACCCTTCATGTCAGTCCTGACTGTTTTACACAGAAATCCCTGTTTCTGTTGAGTGTAATTTATGCTCTGCCAGTGAGATTCACTTCTTTCATTAGAGTGCCTGTTCGAGAGGCTGCCATTCCATTGGTGAATGTGGAAAAAGTCTTATTCACATTGTTGTTGTCACAACATGAAAATTGTGACAATTGAAGAAAAACATGACATTTTATATACAGTACTGTATTTTCAGTACTGTACAAAAGTCTTAGGACACCAAAAGATTTTTCATAACAGTATTTATTAGGGCTGGGTAAAATATCGTTTTGCAATATATCGCGATACTTTTTTTTTTTTTTTTGCTGAACCCAGGGATTGATACTTTAAGTGAGTGTTGATACTTTAAGTTACCTTATTTGTTTTTTTTTTCCCTGAGTTTGAAATGTCCTATTATGTTTGAACACACCTTGTTTCTCAAGCCAATTGCAAGAGACATCATAGTTTATTCCCCTTTTGAGCCTGTTTGTTTGAACAACAAAGGTTGAGTGTATTACAAACTATAAGACAAACATTGGGTGACAAGCATCGGCCTGTCGCATAGAATGAGTAATCAGCCCACTTTGGCTTTCACACGCGCAATAAATAAATGTCAAACTTCAACCCTGAAGTTTGGGTCTGCACGGTAGTCCATTGGTTAGCATGTCTACCTCACAGTGCAGAGGTGCAGGGATACATCCCGG